GCTGGGCGGTGGTAACACACACCTTTAATCCCAGCACTTGGGAGGCAGAGGCAGGCAGATCTCTGTGAGTTCGAGGCCAGCCTGGTTTACAAGAACTAGTTTCAGGACAGGCTCCAAAGCTACAGAGAAACCCTGTCTCAAAACACCAAAAAAAAAAAAAAAGAAAGAAAGAAAGAAAAAAAAAGAAAAAACTCTCTATGGTCATACCACCCTGAACGTGCGTGATCTCTTCTGATCTCAGAAGCTAAGCAGGGTCAGGCCTGGTTAATACTTGGACGGGAGACCGCCTGGGAATACCGGGTGCTGTAGGCTTTTTAAAAAAAATCAAAACTACAATGTATTAAAAATCAAATGTATTTTGTATTTTGTAAGTTAAACATATAGACTGACATTTTACTTTACTTTAGCTTTCTTTTTTTAAATCAAGGTGTCATGTGACCTGGAGCTTGCCCCTAATTCTCTGAGTACCCAAAAATAACCTTGAACTTCTGATTCTCCTACGTTTACCTCCAGACTGCTGGTGCCACAGGCACAGGACACCACTCCCAGCTTTTACTGTTTGGAAAGGGACCTCACTTCCTGCATATGTCAGATTACCCTAGGTGTCTTCCTGCATATGTCAGATTACCCTAGGTATCTCTTCCTGCATATGTCAGATTACCCTAAGTGCCTTCCTGCATATGTCAGATTACCCTAGGTGTCTCTGTGATTCTCTTGCCTTCACTTTTCAAGTACTAGGATTTCAGGACTGCACCACCAAAATGCCACCTGACACCATGCCACACCTGAAAACCCATAGAAGGGCAGAAAAGGAGCCTGACATTATGTATGGTTCGTGCCTATAATTCCAGCAAGAGGATTGTACTAAGTCTGATGCTAGCCTGAGCTACTTTGTGAGTTCAAGGCCAGTCAGGGCTACGTAGTAAAACCCTGTTTCAAAACACCCTCTCCCTTCCCAAACCAGCAAGACAGAGAAGGGGAAGATACCATTTTTTTTTTCATAAAATTCCTCACCTTTCTTTCCCCAAGTCATGACTAGCTCTCATGCATTAGAGTCTGCTCTTTAAAATGGCTATTTTTCTGTTACCTTCTGCTGAGTAGCTCCCACTCCCCCTTCAGTCTGTAGGCTGGCTAGTTTAATGTCAGCTTGACACAAGTTTAGAATCATCGGAGAGGAGGGAACCACAACTGAGAAAATGTCTCCCAAAGACTGAGCTGTAAACAATCCTGTTGGGCAATTTCTTAATTAGTGATTGATGGGGGAGGACCCATCCCATTGTGGGTAGTGTCATCCCTGAGCTGGTGGTCCTAGGTTCTATAAGAAAACAGGATGAAGCCAGGTGGTTGCAGTGGTGGTACACACGCCTTTAATCCCAGCACCCGAAGGCAGATACAGGTGGATCTCTGTGAAGCTAGCATTGTCTGTAGATTGAGTTCCAGGGCACACTCCAAAGCTACAGAGAATTCCTGTCTCTGTAGGGGAAAAAAAAAGCAAGCTGAGCAATCCAGTAAACTGCACTCCTCTATGGCCTTCACGGCAGCTCCTGCCTCCAGGATCCAGTCCCTTGTGAGTTCCTTCCTATCCTGATCCTTCGATAATGAACAGTGATAAGGAAGCATAAGCCTTTTCTCCCCCAACTTGCCTTTTGATCATGGTGTTTCTTTCATTGCAGCAACAGAAATTCTTCCTAAGACAAGTCAGTCCCAGGATTGGGGTGCTGCTGTGACAGACCTGACCGTGGAAGGACTTTGTGCAAGAAAAGTCATTGAACTTTTAGAACTTCGTGAGCTGTTCTGTAGGCGTTTGGAAGATAAGAATGTTGAGGGCAAGACAGACCATGGAGGCCTGGCTTGTGAAGTTTCAGAGAGAAGTTTAAATACTCTCAGGGCCATTTATTATTCTGAATTAAGATTCTTTGGTTCTTGTTATCTGGGACTGAAAAGAATCAGCTCTGATTAACAAGAGACCAGAATTATTAATGAACCTTTGCTTTGCCGGGACACTCAGCGCTGGTTGGCTGGAGCTGCAAGTTTAATGATGACTAAGGAGAGACCAGCATCGTGGAGGTGAAATCTTCTGGGAACTGTTTGCTCAGGGTCAGCACACACGAGCTGTGTTCCAGAAGTGGTCAACGTTTTACCTTGTGCTGGCCGCTGAACGTGGTCGTGTAAGAGTCGCCCAGGTGGTGCTGGTTTTGAAGGCATGAAGGGGTCATAGAGAGCAGCTGAGGCTTGGCACTGTGAAAGACCAGGAGAGGCCATTGTAGAAGGTGAAGACCCAGGACTGAAGGGGTCATGCCGAGAAGCTGAGGCTTGGCACCGTGAAGAGAGTGCACAAAAGACCCCAGCATTTTAGAGCCGAGCAAAAAGAACTGCAGCACCCACGAGTGGAGCTAGAACACAAGGTGTTTGTGATGAAGAGGACGGAGTCAGAGAAGTGACCCAAGCTCCCTGGAGGAGCCGGAAAAATGCCAATGCATCCCAGACATTAGATGCTGAGTTATTTACAACTGGGGAGTAAGGCTTGGCTTTGATTGTCACTCTTCCCTGGTTCTTCCCTCTTGACGTGAGAAAGTCATTTTTTAATATTATTATTTTAAGGAGCCCACCGTTGAGAGACTTAGAATTTTAAAAGACTATGTATTTTAAGAGCTTGGCTATTTTAAAAAGACTGATCTTTTAATGCATTTGAATTTGTAAGGACTGTAGGATTTTTGAAGTTATATTTTTAATGTGAGATTTTGGGGATGAATGAGAAAGGAAAGGTTTAGCAACGATATATTTGTGTGTCAACCTGACAAGGGGTTAATTTGCTGGACAATTTTATGTCAAATTGACAGAAGTTAAAGTCATCTGAGAATAGGGAACCTCAATTAAGAAAATGCCTGCATAAGATCTGAAGATCTGATTGTAGACATACCTTTAAAGCATTTTCTCAACTAGTGACTGATGGAGAAGAGCCTAGCCCAGTGTGAGTGGTGTCACCCCTGGGCTCCATGAGGAGCAAGTCAGTTCTCCCTCCAGGTTCCTGCCCTGGTTGAGCTCCTGTCTTGAGTTCTTTGATGATATGGAAGTATAAGTCAAATAAACCCTTTCTTCCCCAACTTGCCTTTTGCTCATGGTATTTCATAGCAGCAATAGAAACCTTAATTAAGACAGTTTGTACTTATACCTTATAATAAAACGTTCTGGCCTTTCGCCGCCTCACGGCACGCGGGAGGCGGTCTGCAGCGGCCGACGTGCATTACGTCGCCTCTTATTTGTTTGCTGCCTTTGGGGACAACTTCTCTCCTAGCGCCAAAGACATTAAGAAGATACTAGACGGCGTGAGCATCAAGGCGGACGACGACCGGCTCAACAAGGTCATCCGTGAGCTGAATGGAAAAAAACATTGAGGATGTCATCGCCCAGGGTGTTGGGAAACGTGCCAGTGTGCCTGCTGGTGGAGCTGAGGCTGTTTCTGCTGCCCCTGGCTCTGCAGCTCCTGCTGCTGGTTCTGCCCCCTCCCCCTCCCGCAAAGGAGAAGAAGGAGTCCGAGGAGTCTGATGATGACATGGGATTTGGCTTGGTTGATGAAATCTCTGCTCCCCTGCAAATAAAAACCTTTCTATATATCTTGAAAATAAAAATAAAATAAAACGTTCTGTTTCCTTTATTAACGTACTTACGAGGGACTAGGGAGATGGCTCAGCAGTTAAGAGCACTTTCTGTTCTTGCAAGGGACAGGGATTCCCAGAACCCACGTGACAGCTCACAATGGTCTGTAACTCCAGTCCCAGGGGACCTGATGCCCTTTCCTGACCTCTGAGGGCTCCAGGCTCCCACACAGTGCACGGCTGCAGGGGCTGGAGGACTGGAGAGAGGGCTCAGCAGTTAAGAGCACTGGCTGCTCTTCCAGAGGACCCAGGTTCAATTCCAGGCACCCACATGGCAGCTAACAACTGTCTGTAACTCCAGTTTTGGAGATCTGACACTGTCACACAGACATATGCCATGAGAATAAAATAAAAATAAATTATAAAAAATTAAATAAAACAAGCAAAACATTTATAAACTTGTGAATGGTGGGAAAACCAAAAGAAAATAACCTATATAACAATGTTCACAACCGCATCCCTAGCAGCCTCAAATTGTAATAATAGCACAAAAGGATAAACTGGCGGATAAAAGTAGATAGCGGACAAAGCAACAGCAAAAGCAACGAGTCTCCCCCACTCTCTCTCCCTGCCCCCCTCCCCAGATCTATTTCTATCTCTGTCCTCTTGGTTCTTAAAGATCAAGAGGAAGAAAAGAAAATTAGTAAACCTTTTTAAATTCCCCTAGCTGCAGGGCTGGAGAGATGGTTCAGTGGTTAAGAGCACTGACTGCTCTTCTAGGGAACCCAGGTTCAATTCCCAGCACCCACATGGCAGCTAACAACCATTAACTCCAGGATCCAACACCCTCACACAGACACACATACAGACAAAACACTAATAAAATAAAAAATAAATAAATAATTCTTCCACCTAAATTCTATCCAGCTCCTATGGCAAAATCTGAAAGTTGGCTCCTGAAAGCGATTTTCAACTGATAAACATACTTTCCTTACTGAATAGCGTGTTGTGGTGTAGCGCCTGCGGATTTTTTATTTTTTTATTTTTTATTTTTTTTGCTATGAAATGCAACTTCCAAAGAAAAGCGTCTGCCACAGAAAAGCAGACTATTCTCCTAAGCAGTCCCTTTGTCTTTTAAATCAAATCAACCTAATTAGACTTTTTTTTCTTCCAGCAAAGCGTCTAAAGACGCTGTCAGTTTGAGACCGTAGACTTTGATATTAGGTCACTGGCCGGTGCAAAGTAACTGAGTTCCGGTCAGCAGAGAGCGACCGGACGGCAACTTTTCTCCATCTCCTAACAGCCAGGCCAGGCGTCCTCAGTAGCAAGGCGCCTGCGCCAAAGGAGCCGTGTCGCCTCCCCACAACCCCTTCCCCCGAGTGACGCCCCGCCCCCAAGCGTCGCCCCGCCCCCGAGCGTGCTGAGGCTCCTACTGCTCTGTCTCTATGGAAACCGCTACTGCTTTCCTGTGGCCTCAAACAGAATGGCGGCTGGGGAGTCAGGTGGCTTCTACTTCAGATTCCTGCCTCAGAGAACTTTCTCATCCCTGAGCACCCGGGAGATCACCAGTCGGCTCCGCCAGTGGTGAGGAGCGAGATGTGGGAGTGGCCACGCTCCCGTCCGGTGGACTTAGGGCGGCTCTCTCGGGGTTGCAGCTCTACGCTCCGGGATCCGAGCTCGGGGATGCGGCTCTGTGCTCCGGGGTCCGGGATCCGGGTCCGGGCTCAGGGATGCGGGCTCCGGGCTCTGCACTCTGCTCCCAAACTCCAGCCCCAGCCCCACTGACTCTCCCTCCCTGCCAGGTCCATGCTGGGCAGAATCCAGGCGCAGGCATTCAGCTTCGACCAGACGTTCCAGCCCTACCAGAAGGATGATTTCGTCATGGTTGGTATGGGGTGGGGGGGTCTCTTTTGAAGTTCTTGGGAATACTCCATGACATGTTCTTGGAGTAATAAAATGTGCAAGTTGGGTTTTCTTTTGTTTTGTTTCTTATGGGACTTTTGAGACAGTGTCTTATTCTGTATCTGGCCTGGCACTCCCCGGATCCTCTAGCCTCTGCCTCTCAAGGGCAACCACGACCGCCTTGCAAACAGCATCTTTTACCTATCTTTGGGATTCTTCCTTAGATAGCTTTACAATTCTGTAATTCTGATGGCCTTGAACCCTTGTCAGTCATCCTGCCTCAACATCCCCTGTGCTGGAATACAGGGTTGTGCTACCCATTCTGACTGAACATTGTGAGGGGTATTTTTTTTTTTAAATAAGTACATCTTGTTTTTAAGTACTATTGCCCGGCTTTATCTCTGACTTTATTAAGCTTAACTCTTAATACTTCTGGTTTCTGAAAGTCACATTCATCCTGAAAAGGGGGCCTCGAGCCCCAACACGGTGCCCAAACAAGACTTCCTCCCAAAGGTATCAAGCAATGGCCTGTCTGAAAAAGGCCTTTAACTAGAGAGGAATTCTTTGAAGAAGGCAAAGTTCATTCAAAGGCGTCAGTCTTAAAACCCAGCCCCACGGTTTTCAATGTTAGGGGAAGGACTGTTAGGTTTGTGAGATGACCTTTTGTTTTTGCCATTGTCCTCTGAGTACTGGCTTTAGTTAATAGTTCACGTGTAATGTATTCACTGTGACACTTCTTGAAGGCCCACAGAGTGCTAGAAACTCCTCAATAGCTAGAGATAGAAATGAGTCAAAGGATGGTCTTTGAAGAATGTTCTGTCCCTACCAAGAATGCCAGCAAATAACACAGGTCATCTTACACACTGCCAAGAGTGAAGAAACAAAGTCTCCTAATTCCGAAGATCAGAAGTGGTTCACTCAGCCGAAACCTGCAGAGGTGAATCTTTGCCTGCTGCTGACTCTGACTGGGCAGCTTGCTGTAGTTCTTGTCCTTACTTCTAAAGACACCAGTCGTACTGAATTAGGTACCCATCCTACACCATCACATGTGCAGTGGCCCTCTTCCTGAGGGCACTTTCCGAGCTTGAAGGAAGGACCTGAATTGAGTTAAATTCATTCATTTTCCTTTACCTGTAATAAGGTTATAATGCCACGGTAGTATAATGATACTATTATGACATGTCTGATGTTGTATGATGTTTTATTATTTTGCCTTTTTGGGGGACCACTATCTAGCTCCCAAATGAATCACATGCGAAGGCTTATTCTTAGTTATGAATGCCTGGCCATAGCGTGGCTTATTTCTAGCCAGCTAGTCCTAGCTTAAATTATCCCCACTACCTTTTGCCTCTGAGCTTTTATCTTTCTTACTTCTGTTTGTCTCACTTTCCTTCTTATTCCATGGCTGGCTGGGTGACTAGTCCCGAGTTCCTCCTTTCCTTGTTCTCTTGTTCCTCCTTTTTCTCATTTCTCCTACTATTCATACTATCTGCCAGTCCCGCCTGTCCTTGCTCCTGCCTCGCTGTTGGCTGTTCAGCTCTTTATTAGGACCATCAAGTGTTTTAGACAGGCAGAGAATCACAGCTTCACAGTCCATCCAATGCTGCATAAACAAAACACACCTGAAAATAACATTTCCCAACAGTCTCAGTTTATTTGTGGCTAGATTTTAATAACTAATCAGTACTGGCCCTCAACTATTTTTATTTCTTATTCTTCTTTCATACAATACATTCTGACCACAGCCTCCCATCCCTCCACTCCTAGTGCCACCCCCAACTTTCCCTCTTACACAGATCCACAGTGCCTCCATTTCCCTTCACAAACGAACAAGCCTGCCAGGGATATTAACTGAGCATGACATCACAAGATTCAATAAGAATGGACACAAACCCTCATATCAAGACTGGATAAGGCGACCCAGTAGGAGGAAACGGATCCTCAGAGCAGGCAAAAGAGTCAGATGCACCCCCACTCCCACTGTTAGGAGTCCTAAAAGAACACAAAGCTACACAACTGTCACATATATGTAGAGGGCCTAGGTCAGTCCCATTTAAGCTCCTTAGTTGTCTCCGTGATCCCCTCTGAGTTCAGGTTCGTTGATTCTGTGTTTTCTTGTGGTGTCCTCATCTTCTCTGGATCCTATAGTCCTTTCTCCCCATCTTCCACAGGGTCCCCTCAACGCCACCTACTGTTTGGCCATGGCTTGGTGCATCTGCTCCCATCAACTCCTGGAAGAAGCCTCTCTGGTGTAACTGTGCTAGGCATCAACCTATGAATGTAACAGAATATTGTTAGGAATCATTTATTTTTTCTTGTCAGTACTGTTTGGTTTACCCTAGGTCTCTGAGCCGTCCAGCTTCCAGTTCCTGGCCATCTAAGCATACTTAACTATTTTGTAAGATCAGAATTTTGGAATGCTGTAAATTTTTATTTATTTATTTATTTATTTATTTATTTATTTATTTATTTATTTATTTTTGAGACAGGCTCTTATTGTAATGGACCTGGTTGGGCTCAAACTGGGTGATCTGCCTGTCCAGGTCCTGGGAGCAAAAGTGTGTGCCTCTCTTATATGTTTGGTTGTGAGCCCAGCCTTTAACAGTCCTGGTGTATGAGAGAAGGAGTACATTTCTTCTTCTTTTTTTTTCTTTTTGATTGCTCAGTAGAGCTCTTCAGCAGGTTAATATTTATTCATAAAATTCAATAGATTTCTTTCCATAACTCCAAGCATTTCTTTCTCATTTTAAAGTTCTTCTTGTGCTAAGAATGTAGCTGAAGTGGTAGGGTGCTAGCTTAGCATGCATCCCCACACTACATAGACCAGACATAGCGATATAGACCTATAATCCCAGCACTGGGAAGGTGGAGGCAAGAGGATGAGAATCTGTTGTTCAAGGTCACCTTTGGCCCAGGCCATCTCAAAAACCAAATTAAGATTCATAGTTAAAATATTGGGGATCCAGTGTTGTAGACAGAAGTTTCAGTCCTGCCTGGTCCTGCAGCCATTTGGTCCCAGAAAAGCACAGAGAGGCTTATATTATTTATAAGCTGTTTGGCCTCTGGCTAGCTTAACCCCCAAAATAACCACACAGAAATTGTATTAGTTAAATTACTGCCTGGCCCATTATCTTCAGCTAACTGTCTTATATTAGTTTAACCCATCTCCATTAATGTGTATCATCACTTGACTGTGGCTTACTGACATGAGTCTAACCAGCGTCTGTCTTGGGCAGGAGAAACTTGGCGTCTGCCACACTGCCCTTCTTCCCAGAATTCTGTTCTGTCTTCCCCGCCTACCTGAGTTCTGCCCTATCAACTAGGCCAAGGCAGTTTCTTTAATAACCAATGAAAGCAACACAAATACAAAAGGACCTCCTACACATAATTCATTTCTATGTTTAGCCATGTGGCTTGGTACCTTTTCTCAGTAAGTCATTCTCATCTTTCTTCCTCTGTGTCTGGATAGTGACTGACTCTCTGTCTTTCCTCTTCCCAGAATTCTCTTAGTCTGTTCACTCCACCTATACTTCTACTTGGCTACTGGCCAATAAACTTTTTATTAAACCAATATGAGTGACAAACCTTTACAGTGAACAAGAACATCACTCCACAGCACAGTGTGGTGGTGCATGCCTTTAATTTAGCACTCAGAATGCAGAGGCAAGTGTATCTCTGTGAGTTTGAGACCAGCCTGGTCTACATAGTGAATTCCAGGACAGCCAGGACAGCTGGAATCGAGAGACCCTGTCTAAAACAAACAAATGGACAAACAAATAACTAAAATGTTGGAGAGCCGAGGAAGTGACTCAGTGGCGGAGTGCTTTCTTAGCATACACGGAGACCTGTGTTCCATCTCTGGCACTAAAAATGTGCATATGATTCTTTGAAGTTTTGTTAAAAATTTATTTGTGGGGCTGAAGAGATGGCTCAGCTTTTAAAGACTAGAACTCACAACTAAAATGATGAGATTTATGGGTCTGTGTATCTATATCTATGTGAATCTATTGTATGTACCTATGCCCAGAGACCAGAAGAGGATATTGAGTCCTTGAAGTTTGAGTTGCATGCTTTGTGAACCATCTTACATGGGGGCTATGCTCAGTATACCAGTCCTTACGATTGAGCAGCAAGTGTTCTTAACTACTTAGCCATCTCTTCAGCCAGTTTTTACAAATGTGTATATGTGTGTAGAGAGCATATGTTCAGGTAGCACCTATGGACTTGATCTCTCGGCTGCTGGAGTTGCAGGAGATTGTGAGCTGCCGACGAGCGCAAGGAATCAAACCCAGGTCCTCTGCTAGAGCAATATGCACTCTTAACCACTGAGCCAGCTTTCATTTTACTAGGAAGCCCAAGCAGGGCTTGACCACCAGGCCTGGCTCCAAAGTACCTTTTTAATAAAGTAATTAAAACCAGGCGTGATAGCTTATGTCTAGATTCCCAGCACCCAGAGCCTAAGGTGGGAAGAGTGTGAGTCCAAGACTAGCCTGGGCTATATAGTGAAACTCAGTTTTCTTTCCTTTTTGGTTTTTTTGTTTGTTTGTTTGTACAAAAGGTTTCTCTATGTATCCTGGTAGTCCTATAACTTGCTCTGCAGACGGCTGTCCTTGAGCTCAGAATTCTCCCTGATGGGATTAACATTCTGTGCCACCATACCAGGTGTGAAGCCCTTTTTTCAAAGAAAAATAATTAAAACACTAATGTCAGTTTGGCAGTTTGTGGAAGGCTAATTGCTCTGCGTAGACTCTGGAAGTAGTGAAACAAAATTGGCAACACCTCCAGACAGTGTGTGGTTTCTGCACTGACAGTATCATGAGTATGGTTGCCTTCTGGACAGTGTTTGGTGAGGCCCTCATTTTAGACTAACCCTAAAAGTGACTCAGAGACGTACTTCTTAAGGACTAAGATGCTGGATGCTGAGAGTAGGGAGAGAGGAACATGTTGGACAAATCCCAGGTTTCTGCTATAGTTTTTTATATATATGTGTGTGTGTGTGTGTGTGTGTGTGTGTATGTATATATACATGTATATATATTATATATATTTTACCCTCTTAAACATGTAAAAGATGGAAAGTAAATTTGATGAGAGTAAGTTTAGTGTTAGGTGCATCCAGGTAGCTGTTCGCTGGCTGTCAATCTCCCTTTAGGGCCTACTAAGAGCTCTATCAGATGTGCCCGATAATGAGAAAGACTTTTCCGTATAAACTGTGACAAGCTGTTTACTTTGCAGAGTTTCCCCAGAAGCTTGCACATGCTCCCATGTACATCTCAGGAGCAGAACTTAGACCATGGCTGCATCCCACCAACCCTAGCAGATGTGGGTGGGTGCATGCCAGCTCTACAGGGGGTGAGGGGGGGAGTTCTTTCATGGCATCAAACAAGTTTATCTAATCTTTGTGTGCATTTTGATATCTGTATGTTTGTTACTGCAAACTATTTATGGGAAGTGCATCGGTTTTCCTAAAGTTGACATACAGGAAATCCCTTCTGATGCCTTGATGCCAGTTTTTTGTTTTTTGGGTTTGTTTGTTTGTTTGTTTTTGTTTTTTGTTTTTCTCTGTGGCTTTGGAGCCTGTCCTGGAACTAGTTCTGTAGACCAGGCTGGCCTCGAACTCACAGAGATCCCTCTGCCTCTGCCTCTGCCTCCCAAGTGCTGGGATTAATGGCATGTGCCACCACCGCCCGACTGATGTCAGTTCTGTAACAAACCGACAAAATAGTTGTAATTTCAATTTTTAAAGAATTGGTTTGACTTACTTAAGAGGCCATTATTTAATTTTTATTTTATGTGCATTGGTGTTTTTTTTTTTTTCCACATTCATGTCTGCATGAGAATGTGGGATCACCTGGAACTGAAGTTACAGACAGTTGTGAGCTGCTATGTGGGTACTGGGATTTGAATCCAGGTCCTCTGGAAGAATAATCCAGTCCCTTAAGAGGCCTTTATAAAAAGTATTTGGAGACTGGAGAGATGGCTCAGTAATTAAGAGCACTGACTGCTCTTCCAATCGACCCAGGTTCAGCTCCCAGCACCCACATGGCAGCTCACAACTGTTTGCAACTCCAGTTTCAGGTAATCTGAAACTTCCCATGGCAAAATGAACATTTAAACTAATGAACATTTAAAAAGAGTATTTCAGGGGCTGGAGATGGCTTAGCATTAAGAACACTTGTTACTGAAGAAGACCCAGATTTGGTTCTCAGCACCCATATGGTGGTTCACAACAACCTGTAATTCCAGTTCCAGATGATTCAGTGACCTCTTGAGTACCTTCATACATACAGGCCCAAAATGCTCGTGTGCACTAATAAAGTAAAATACTTTTATAAAACCTATTTTAAACACATTTTGATTGGCTTTAGGTCAACTGCTGTGAGTCAGTTGGTCTTTTTATGGCATCTAAGCAGTGGCGCCCACGGTACGAGACAGGGCTGCCTTATATTCTTGATGTTCCTGCCTCCACCTTCTACGCGCTGAAGATTGTAAGCACATGCCTCCATATCTGCTTAACTTCTTTCTTTTAAAAAATTTCTATCGTTTTCTGTGTGCATGTTCATGTGCTAGGGTGAGTTGTGCCACCGTGCACACGTGGAATTGAAAGACAACTTTGGGAGTCAGTTCTTTTCTTCTACATGGAACCTGGGCGGGTGCGGACCATAGGTTTGTGCTTTTTAGCCTCTGAACCATCTCACTGTCCCCGGATTTCATTTCTTTTGTTTCTTTAAAAAAATCATTAGCTTTTTTCTTAATTTAAAGTTCTTCCAGTCAGTGTAATGGTACACACCTTATTCAACACCCGAAAGATAAAAGCAGGGGTCTCAGGAGTCCAGGGTTAGCCTGTGGTGTACCGTGAGTTACACGTGTGTGCAAGGCTAGCCTGAATACTTGAGATCCTGTTGCAAAAAAGGAAATATGGGGGCTAGAGAGATGGCTAGGCAGTTAAGAGCATTGGCTGCTCTTCCAGAGGACACATGGCAGCCCACAGCTGTCTGTAACTTCTTTTCCAGGGAATCTGATGCCCTCATACAGATGTACTTGCAGGCAAAACACCAATGTTCATAAAATAAAAATAAATACAATTTTAAAAAGCCCACAAAGTCCTTCAAGCTGGACAAAATGGCTTATACCTGTTATCCTAGCCCACAGTATTGAGGCCAGAGGACTGAGATTTTTAGGGAAACTTAGAATCTAAAGCAAATTCAAAGCCAGTCTGAGCTACATAATGAGACCCTGTCAAAAAGTCAAGGGCTGGGGAAATAGCTCGGGAGTGAGCAGTTGCTCAGTATAGACAAAGTCCTGGGTTTGATGCCCGGTACCTTGGGGGGAAAAAAAAAACAGTAATTAAAGCAGAGCTTTTCTTCTTTAGATTAAATGATATTTTATTAATTTTGTTTCAGAAGTTAATTTTATTTATGATAAAGTTTCTAACATGTTCCCTTGAAATTTGTATTTTAGGCTTTTTTCAAAGACCCAAATATTATTCCAAATTTGCAGTTACTTTCAGATTCTTCTGGACAGTGGACCACATTAGGTAAATAAAATTACTTTTTGTATTTTCAAGTTAACTATTTTAATAAAAGTTTGCCTCAGCAATTATTACTAGTGATTTGTGTCACTAATATACAAATTGTGACATTCACGATAATGTGTGACCAGCTATAGCACGCTCGCCCTGCATCTCTGTCCTGGAAATCTCCTGCTATCATCCTGGTGTAGCACATCAAGCAATTTTCTCTCAGTAGTTTAGAAAATATACACCCTATACCTCCTATTTACTCTGCTAAATGCTGTTCACATTGAGATAAGCGAGAAGAAAGGGCACTCAGGGAGTTCGCTGGTACATTAAGGGATGCCTGCTCCGTGTACTGAGTGATACACAGAGACCTGGGTTGTTCAATCTCCGGCAGCACTTTAGTCGTTTGATAGACAATGACCTCAGAGGGAGAGGCACCCTAGGAGGTGTGGCCTCGTTGGAGTGGGTGTGGTCCTACTTGGAGGAAGTGTGTCAATGTGGGGGCAGGCTTTGAGCTCTCATCCATGGTCAAGCCATACCCAGCAAGTCAGTTCACTTCTTATTGTCTATGGATCAAAGATGTAAGAAATCTTAGAACCTTCTCTAGCACCATGTCTGCCTGCATGCGGACAACCAGCCACCATGCTCCCTGCCATGAAGATAACGGACTAAACCTCTGAAACTGTAAGCCGCCACCTCCAGTGAATGTTTTTCTGCTTTTTAATGATTTATTTATTTGCATTGGTGTGTTGGTGTAAGGTGTTAGATCCCCTGGAACTGGATTACAGATAGTTGTAAGCTGCCGTGTGGGTGCTGGGAATTGAACCCAGATCCTCTGGAAGAGCAGGCAGTGCTCTTAACCACTGAGTCATCACTCCAGCCCCTAAATGTTTTCCTTTATGAGAGTTGCCGTGCTCACGGTGTCTCTTCACAGCAATAGAAAGCCTCACTTAGACAATCACATACAGCCAAGTATAGTAGTACACACCTGTGACACCTGGAATCCCAACACTGGGGAGGTAGAGACAGGAGGATCAGAAGTTTATACATAGCAAGTTGAGGCCAGCCTGGACAATATGAGATCCTGTCTTATAATAATAATAATAATAATAATAATAATAATAATAATAATAGCAATAATAATAGCAATAATAATAATAATAATAAGTTAAAAAGGGAGACGGATGTGATGAAGGAACAAAAAAGAGGGGCTGGAGAGATGGTTCTGCTCAGCAGTTAAGAGAGAAACACAGTGCCCTTCAGAAGCCTGAGTTTTCTTCTCAGTGCCCATATATGGCATCACAGCCTATGACTCCAGCTTCATGGGGTCCAGGACCTGTAGCCTCCATGGCACCTGTGCATACATGCACACCCCCTCACATGGACAGATACAGTCATATAATTAAAAATCGTGAAAGACTGTAGTAGTACATTCCAAGTTTTTCTGTAGAAGTGAGAGTGTGGGAGGGAGATGGCCAGTTCTACCCGGGACAGGGTCCAATGACGGGAATTCCTGGGCAGGGTACAACTGGAGCTCGCATGTGGTTTTGGCAGGAATTGACTGACCTGGAATTTTTTAGAATAACAAATCATAGAGAAATGATTTCTTAAAGGCAGAACCTTTCTCTAGATGACACTTTAATAATACACTAAAACGTACCTGGGAAATTCTATTTATTTGTTGTATGTGTGTGCACGCATGTGCGCGCGCGCCTGCCTGCCCATGCAGCATGCAAGCTGCCATGTGGGGGCAGAGGACAACTGTCCTACCAGTTCTTCCAAACGTCCACGTCCAGCGTTTTACCACCTGTGCCGCCATCGTCCCTGAAGACCGCACTGACACCACCAACATGAATACTATCTTTTAAACTCAAGTTTGAGGTTTCAGCCGTGGAACTGGTAACACCATTCCATGCTGAATGATGTTTTACACTCTTTTCTTTTGGGGGTGCCCACCACCCAGAGACTTATTCTTAGTTATGAATGCCTGGCCTTAGCTTGACTTGTTTCTTGTCAGCTTTTCTTAATTTAAACTATCCTGACTATCTTTTGCCTATAAGCTTTTACCTTTCTCTATTTGTATACCTTTCTTAACTTCTCTCTCCATGGCTCACTGTGTGGCTGGGTGGCTGGCCCTGATGTCCTCCTCTCCTTGTTCTCTCGCTGCTCCTCTGTCTCCCTTACCCCAGGGTCCTGCCAGCCCTGCCTCACTATTGGCCGTGCAGCTCTTTATTTTCAGGTGTTTTAGACAAGGAACAGTAACACAATTTCAGAGTTAAACAGATGCAGTGGAAACAAAAGTTACACATCTGAAAATAATATTCCCCAACAATTCCATTTAGAAAAAGGATCTGTGGACTGGAGAGGGTTAGGGTTAGGGTCTGCCTGCAGGCAGACATGCAGGCAGAACACTGTATACATAATAAATAAAAATTTTTTAAAAAACTAAAAAGAAAACAGGGTTTGCAGAAGTGTGTGCAGTCTCCATCGTCTTGGCACAGACTTTACAGAAAGGCCTGACTTGGTCCTAAGTTTTGTTCAAGTTTTTTGCTTATTTATTTTGTTTTTCATGATTGTCTTAGTTAGGGTTTCTATTGCTGTGAAGAGACACCATGACCATGTCATCTCTTATAAAGAGAACCATTTAATGGAGGTGGCAGCTTATAGTTCAGAGGTTTAATCCGTTATCTTCATGGCAGGGAGTATGTCCGCATGCAGGCAGACGTGGTGCTAGAGAAGGTTCTAAGATTTCTTACATCTTTGATCCACAGGCAATAGGAAGTGAACTGACTTGCTGGGTATGGCTTGACCATGGTAAGACCCCAAAGCCTGCCCCCACATTGACACACTTCCTCCAAATAGGACCACACCTACTCCAACGAGGCCACACCTCCTAGGGTGCCTCTCCTTCTGGGGGTCATTTTCTTTCAAACAACCACAATGATTTAATTTCTTTTTAATGTATTTTAGATTTTTGTTTTTGTTTTTAAAAACAGGATTTCTCTGTGTAACAGACTTGGTTGTACTGGAACTCTCTTTATAGACCAGGCAGGCCTTGAACTCAGAGATCCACCTGCCTCTGCCTCCCGAGTGCTGTGATTAAGGGCATGCACCACCACCACCTGGTTTCTCTATTTTTTAAGCTAACTCTCCAGGCCCAATAGTAGTGCTGTCCAGCTGTGCATGGGTGTGGGGCATCACCTGAAGCGCGGGTAACTTACCAGAGGCCACTCTCCCTAAAGAAGAATTCTCCCTCACCCAGGGACTAACTCCTTAGCTCATGCCTCCCCACCCCCACCCTGCATCCCTGTTGGGATTTAGCCAGCTCTGTCCTGTGCAGGTAACCGCAGCTGTTTGGAGCTGAGGGCAGCTGTCCTGCCATGTCCAGAGGACAGCATTTCACTGCATTCTGTCTGCCTCCTCTAGCAAGTGTTCCCTGAGCCTTTACTGTTGAATTTAAAAATCACATTTATTTATGGTGTGTGTGTGTATAGGTCAGAGCACAGTTAGCAGAAGTTGGTTCTCCTTCCACCAAGTAGGTCCCAGGGATCGAACTCAGGTGCTAGGCTCATTCGGTCCCTTTCTTTCCCCTCTGAGCCATCTCAGCAGACCTTATTCTAAGCGTGGAACAAAGTGTTGCACAAAGAGATCTTCTGAGATGCCACACGTACCCGACAGGTAGGAAAAGAACTCTAAAATTAGAAACACTTCACTTGGGTTTGTTTTTTAAGATTTATTTTTTATTTGTATGTACATGTATGGGTGTGCACATGCATGCAGGTGTCCGCAGAGACCAGGAAAGGGTGTTGGCTCCCCTGAGCTACCTGACTGATGCCGAGATCTGGAAGAGCCCCAAGTGCTCTTAACCGTGACCCTTCTCTCCAGCCCAGCACTCATGTTTGTGAAGAGGAATTTTTTGAATGCTACCAATGCTTTTCTACCAACTTGACTTCCTTTTCTCTCATTTTTTGCAATTTTTTTATTGTTGTTATTATTTTTCTAGCATATTGATGTCTTCCCCCTCAGTTTTCATTTGGAGTCTTTATATCCCTACCACCAAAATCAGTCTGGATTGCCTAGAGTCTCAACAGCCGGTGTTGTTAATTTTGAACTCAAAGCAGTCCTCCTGCCTCAGTCTCTGGAGTGCTGAGGGGCTACAGGCTTACACCAGCACACCACTCTGTGCCGGGTGGGGCTTGAACCCAGGGCTTCACGGAAGCTAGGAAGTGGTCTTGTTAAGGAGGAGGCGTTGTTAAGCAGGAGGAGACTGGAAAGGGACACCTGTGAATGTTTATGGCCTTGCTCCATGGGAGACACCAGAAACCCTGTTCTGAAGAGAACACCAAGGATATGCTAGGAAAACCATCTGATAAAGAGACCAGGGTGTATCTCTGCAGTTATCAGTCATTTCAGCAGAAACCAAAAGTAGAATGGGATGGTTATCAGTGTAGATGCTGATCTAGAGGGCTCTTGGACTTCTTACTCCTGTGGGCTGGGTCATAGAACTTCTCAGCTGCCAACATGAGCTGTGTGTTAAGGAAAGATCCAGAAAGTAAATCAGGGCTAGACAGATGGCTCAGCAGTTCAGAACTTGTACTGCTCTTTCAGGGAACCTGGGTTTAGTTCCCAGCACCCATACTAGGCCATTCAGATTCTGAGGATCTAACACCTCTGACCTCTGAAGGCACCTGCATCCACAGCCACACACACAACACACAATTTTTTTAAAGATAATCTTTGTAAAGAGTCTCTGTCCCACCAGCCAGCTCCCAAATAGTGACACAGAGATTTTATGTCATATTAATTATGAAAGCTTGGCTTTATCTTAGGCTTATTTCTAACTAGCCCTTATAATTTAAATTAACACATTCCCATTAATCTACATTATCTCATGGACCACCATCCTGCTTCCTCCTTGTCTCTTCCCTGTCTCTCATCCCTCTGGCACACCTAAATTCCTCCCCCTACTTCCTCTCTCTGCCTAGAAGTCCCACCTATAACTCCTGCATGGCTATTGGCTGTTCAGCTTTTTATTACACCATTTACAGTGATACCTTCACACAGTGCACAAATATTCCATAACAAATCTTTTTTAAAAATGTCAGTGAGAGGTCATTTTATCAGGCGAAATAGCCTCTAATCTTATCCTCAGGGATTGGGCTACTCAGACACTGAACTTGGAGTCAAGTAAACAGAAACCTTAGGTACTGGTTCACCTGGTAGCTAATAATTGTTTATCTGGTTTTGGGGTGGAAATGGCTGTCCTGTGTTCATCTCATTAGTATATTTTATTTTTGGTTTCTCAGTCTGTAGACCAGGTTGGCCTCGAACCCAGTGATCCTCCTGCCTCTCCCTCCTGAGTGCTAGGATTAAAGGGTGTACCACCATTGCCTGGCCTACCAGTGTATTTTAGAAGCATACATTTCATGTAACAGGTTGACATAGAGAGAAATTCTGCTTCAGAATGAACTGTACCTCAGTCTTACCTGTTATAGCATTTAGATGAAACTTTGAACCTGAATGAGTTCAAATTTGGAGTCTTTTGAAGTGGAATGAACAGTACTTTCCATGTGAGGAAATTGAAGTTAGGAGCTGGGGATGAAACCTGATTGGCTGAATTGTCTTACCCACAATCAGGTGACCCCTGAGACTCTGTTCTGAGTCACTTTGCAGCTGCTGCAGCTCAGAATACAATGACACTGGGTTAGGCCATCATTCTCTGAACTCTGAGGTAATGGACATCAATCCATAGTAGATGCCGTTTTCACAACTTAGACTAAGGGGTTTGAGTTGAATTTACTAAGTTTGACTTATTAAAATGGCATGATAGCCAGGTGGGGTGCACACCAGTAGTCCCTTCGCTGGGTCGGGTAGATGCAGGTCATTGCCAGTTCGGGACTACCTGGTTTACAAAGACTGTCTCCACTCACACGTGCACACACACACACCCTACCACCATCATCATCTCTCCCCTGTGCTCACCAGCCCTTGTTCTGGAGCTGCCAGGCTCTGTTTACTATGCCTCAGTCTTTCAGAAGCATCCAGAGTTATTCCATCATAGTCTGTAGGCTTTTTGCCTCATCTGCTCCCTAAAAGGATTGGGCCTCAAAACAAGAAGAGCTTCTCTCAGGAGCACAGCTTTTGAAGTCACTGAAACACACAGTTCCTGGCTCCAGGCATCTTTCTTGTCCCCACGTCCAGGATCATGACCTGCAAGAACAGGTTCCAGCATGACCTGGTGGAGTCAAAACAGGAAATGAAAACAATTGCCAGGATTGCTTCTAAGCCCTGGCATTTGTCAGGCTGGCAATACAGTAGTGGGACCTGTAGATGGGACTCAGCAGTCGCATGTGCAGGGCCCTGCCTGCGGTCCCTAAGACCAACAAGGAAGCCAGAAGACAAAAGAACATCATACCAAACTGTGTAGGTAAAAGAAAGGGAAAACTGATTGAGGCGATAATAAAAATATTTTCTTAATCTTTATGGCTATGTAATTTAAGGTGTACTAACAGGCAAAACTATTTAAGGAAAAAGTGTGGTCTGGGGACCAGGAATCAAAGAGGGAGGAGCTAAGGATATAAAAGAAGCCAAGCCCACCAGGTGGTGGTGGCACACACCTTTAATCCCAGCACTCAAGGGGCAGAGGCAGGTGGATCTCTGAGTTCAAGGCCAGCCTGGTCTACAGAGTGAGTTCTGGGACAGCCAGGGCTACACAGAGAAACCCTGTCTCAGAAAACCAAGAAGCAGCTGGGCCCCAGTGCAGTTGTCCCACATTTCTCTTCTGGTCTAAGATGACTCAACCAGCCCTGCCTTGAGTGTAACCTTGACTTGGAAAAGTTTTTGTGTCTTACACACTGTCAGCGAGATCTCATAGGAGACTTTGTAATGAAGAAAAAATATTTTCAAGGCATCTTCAAAGACTTTACAAATGATCATTAATTAAATTACTGTTTTGGTTTTGATGTTTTGTTTTCTGAAACAAGACCTCGCTATGCAGCCCTAGTTGGAACTTGCTGTGTATATCCTCCTGCCTTTCCCTCAAGTGACGAGTGGTAGACGTGAGGCGCAGCAGTGCTCAGCTTCCTCTTGTTAATGTTTATTTAGTCAGCATGTCTTTATGTGTGCATACATGCCAGACGATAATTTGCAGGAGTTTGTTCTGTCCATCCACCATGTGGATTGAACTTAGGTCATCAGAACTGGTAGGAAACACCTTTGTCCACTAACCCAATGTACCAACCGTTCATGTTTTGGTTTAGGGTGTGTGTGTGTGTGTGTGTGTGTGTGTGTACACCTGCCTGTGTGCCTATGGAGGTCAGAGCTGTCACATCTCCTGGGAGCTGGAGTTACATAGTCTTGTGAGCCATCCATTGTGGGTGCCAGAAACTGACCTCAGTTTCTCTGTAAGAGCAGTCTGTGCTCTCAATCACAGAGCCATCTTTCTGGACTACCCCAGTGCACCTATCTCTACCTATTTTGAGACAGGGTTTCACTTTGAAACCCAGACTGGCCCTGTAGCTGACTGAGAATGCTAGTCTACCTCAGTCTCTCAGGTGCTGGCCTTATAGGTATGTGTTATCAAACCGAGCTCTAAATTTGAATTGTAGAGAGCATTTCGTTGTGGAAATCCAAATTTATGTGAAAGAATCTTCTGCTTTTATTGGCAATTCTACATTTGATCTTTGCCAGAAGGCCAAGGAGCAAACAAATGCATTTCAGTAGAGGGCATGCTGGGCTGTAGGAGCCCTAGGTTCTGTCCCCAGCACTGACTAGAGCTAGGCATGGTTGTAATCCTGTGCAAACCTGTAATCCTGTGCATACCTGTAATCCCACCACTGAAGAGGTAAAAGCAGGAGGATCAGAAGGTCAAGCTCATCCCCAGCTACACGGTGATTTCAGGGTTAGCGTGGGCTATGTGAAACCTTGTCCTGATAACACACACACACACACACACACACACACAAAACGGTCTATAAACCCCCTACTCAACACACAAAGTATTTTTGCATTAAGCATTCTCTAGTTCACTGATTCTCAACCTGTGGGTCAAGACCCTTAGGGTGGAATGACCACTTCATAGGGGTCACATATCAGATATTGTTTGTATCGGATATTTACAGTTATGAAGTAGCAATGAAATAATGCTATGGCTGGGGTCACGGCATCAGGAAGGTTGAGAACCACTGCTCTAGTTTATGTTCACCTAGTCCTGAGATAATATTTTATTATACATGTTTTTGTTTTTGTTTTGAAACTTGAGTAACACCGTATATCCCGTAAATCCTGGTTTAAAACTTGCTCTGCAGCCCAGCCATTCTCCAGCTCGTGGCAATCTGCCTGGCTTCCTCTCCTGGATGCTGGCCCTGCAGCCACTAGCCAACCTGGCTCTAATCTCTTTTTACGATTTATTTTATTAAAACCAAAACACCTAAATAAACAAAAAAGATTTATTTTTGTCTTATATCTGTGTGTTGAGGTAGGGTACCTACTGAGACATCTTGGAGCTAGAATTATAGGTGGTTGTGAGCCACTTGAGGAAGGTGCTGGAATCCAAATACTGGTCTTTGGGAAGAGGCAACAAGTGTTCTTATCCACCAACTCACCTCTCTAGTCCCTAGCCTTTATTTCAGGTTAATGTAGTAGTAATAGTAGTAGGTAGTAGTGTGTGTGTGTGTGTGTGTGTGTGTGTGTGTGTGTGTGTGTGCGCGCGCGCGCGCGCGCGTGCATCACAGAAGCTACTTTGGGGATGGGTTTTGTCTTTTCGTGGTAGTTCAGGGACCTAATTCATGACTTTGTGCAGCACTTTTATCCACTGGGTCATTGAGATATGTGTTGTATTTGGTTACTTCTTAGAGTCCATGCGTAATGGTTGGTTTTAGAAATAACTAAAAATTGGGGCTGGGACCAGGTATGTGGCACACAAGTTTAATCAAAGCACTCGAGCAAAAACAACTGTCCATGAGTTTGAGGCCAGCCTGATCTTCATAGTGAGTTCCAGGACCTTGACAAAAAAAAAAAAAAAAAAAAAAAAAAAAACGCGGAGGGATGGAATTTGAACCCGTGTCCCATGACTCATGATCACCTGTTCCTCCAGCTGCAGGTCATCGGTGTTGCCTCTGGCCTCTGTGGTCACCTACACACAGGTGGCAGACACGCAGACACCACATTTGCACAGAAATGAAAGATAAAAGTATATCTTTTTAAAAGTTTAGAAATAACTAAATTCACTAAATTTCACTTTTATATTGTCATTCTTTACAAAATATCTTTTTCAGGAACTGAGGTGAAGAAAATTGAAGCTATAAATGTCCCATGCACTCAGCTTTCAATGTCATTTTTCCAGCGGTTATACAGTGAAAATATTGTTCGAGAGAGTGGACACATTGTCAAGTGCTTAGATTCTTTCTGCGATCCATTTCTCATTTCAGATGAACTGAGAAAGGTAAGTACAGAGTTCTAAAGTTTCACAGTGGGAGTTTATGGAAGGAAATGAGAAAGGGCAAAACCTTCAGCTGCTCAACCTGGAGTTCCTCTAGCTAGTCGACCTTCTCCCTGCTGACGTAACTGTGGCGGTCAGGCTGACGCTGTTGTGCCCAGGACGTCACTCCCGACGGGTATGGCCCGAGTGTGTCAACAGCAGAGAAACTCCAGCCTGTTTAATGTGAGCTGTTGTCTTCCCTATCAGTCCCTTCATCAAATGGATATTAAGAATATACCTGGAAAGTTGATCATAGTGGCACAGGCCTGTAACCCTAGCACTCAGGAGGAAGAGACAGCAAATCTAATCAGGAGTTCAAGGCCAGCCTGGCCTACTTTGTTACACGCTGTCCTGGGCGATATAGCGAGACCTATCTCAAAAGCAAGACCAACAAGACTAAACTAAAATTGGAGCTTGGGGCATTGCACAGTTGAGAGAATATTAATCTAGTGCACAAAGCCTTGTGTTTGATCCCCAGCACTTCATACACATAGCATGGTGGCACATGCCTGTTAGCCTAGCACTTGGGTTAAAGGTCACCTCATCTGTGTAGTTCAAGGTTAGCTTGGGGTAGCTAAGACCCTGCCCAAGAATTAGAAAAAAAAGGTATTAGTAATTTGTTTTTCGTTGGTTTTTGTTTTTTGGTTTTTCAAGATAGGGTTTCTCTGTCGCTTTGGAGTCTGTTTCTATGCTATTCAGACCAAACTGGTCTTGAACTCACAGAGATCCGCCTGCCTTTGCCTTCCAAGTGCTGGGAACCACCACCCAGCAGTAGTTTGGTTTTTAGTAGTTGGTTTTTAAACAGATATATTTTATGTGTATGAATGTTTTATCTGTGTCCATGTTTATGCACCACATGTGGGCCTAGTGCTCATGAAGGCCAAACAAGGTCTGGATCCCCTGGTCTCGCAGTTACAGATGGTTGTGAACCACTGTTCAGGTGCTGGGAACTGAGCCAGCGTCCTTTGCTAGAGATGGAAGCTAAGCCGTCTCTCCAACTCAAGTATTGTTTGATTAGGCGGCCTCCTGTTGCACCAGCTGACCTTGAACTCACTGTGTGGTTTAGGATGGCCTCGAGCTTCTGAAAGCTCAAAATCATAACTCTGCATTGCTTGAAGATGATTTTTATCATCTTAGGTTTTGCTCATGGAAGACTCTGAAAAATATGAAGTCTTCAGCCTACTGGAAAGGGAAGAGTTCCTGTTCCGTCTTTTTAAGCATCTCTGCCTTGGAGGCTCCCTTTGTCAGTATGAAGATATGATTAAGCCGTATCTGGAGACAGCAAAGCTGCTCTACAAGGATCTGGTGAGGTAATGTTTTCAGTGTGCGAATTCTTCCCAGTAGAGAAAATCCTTTTTGTTTAACCCTGGTGGAATTACCCAGCACCGCTTGTGTTCATATTAGCGACTCCCATGGCCCTTTGCAGCCTGCCTCTTTCTTCTCCAGGCCTGAAGATTTTGTGTCTATGTTTTTGTTGTCAATTTTGTTTGTTTCTTGTCAGTGCTGGTATTGGACTTAAGACCTTGATTTATAAGCAAACATTCTATCGTTGAGGCAGCAGCATTGTCTTTCAGGTCATTATCAGTTTTTGTGAGGTTTGGTGTGTCTGGTCTCGTGAGACAGTTTTACATGGCAACTCAGGCTGCCTTAGAACTCACTCTGTGACCCAGACTGTCCTGCCGAAGCGTGAGTCCTGTGGCGTCCAGCCCCCAGGCCTAGTTCCCAGCCTTTCCTCAGCCGACCTCCTTTACTCTGTCCCACCCAGTTCTGCGCTAGCAACTGCCAGCGGCTTCCCTTCCTCTCCTCCTACTCTCCTTCTTTTCAATACCAAAGGAACACAAGAGATCCCAAAGGATGTGTGACTTTGCTCAGGTGTGTGTGTGTGTGTGTGTGTGTGTGTGTGTGTGTGTGTGTAAGAGAGAGAGAGAGAGAGAGAGAGAGAGAATGTGTGCAAAACCTTTATTCAAAAAAAGTGGAAGAATTTTAATTTAGATGTAATCTTTTGCCCTCCCAAATGAATCCCAAAGACATGAAGTTAATTTTAAGTATTCTACTAGGCTCACCCTCCCTCCTCCCCACCTTCCCTCCTTTCCACCCTTCCTTACTTTTTGAAACTCAAATGAAGATTAAACTATAAACTTGAGCCTGGAGAGAGGCTCAGCACTTGAGAGAGTCTTCTGTTCTCTAAGAGGACCCCAGTTCAGTTCCCAGCACCCACACAGCGGCTCACTATAACCTGTAACTCCACTTCCAAGGGACCTATGGTCCTTTTCTGGCTTCTTTGTGCACTGTATGGTATATATACATGCATATAGGCAAACATTCAGACACATAAAATATAAATAAAGAAATCCTTTTTTTAAAAAAAAAAACCATAATTTCAAGATTAGGAATTGGGAGCAATGCCTCTAATTCCAACCCTGAGGAGGTAGAATCATGAGGATTCTGCAGGTTCTAGGCTAACCTAGTCTACACATTCTGATTCTAGGTTAGCCTAGGCTCTATAGTGAAACTCTGCCTCAGAAAAAGAAAAGAAAAGAAAGGAGGGAAGGAAGGAAGGAAGGAAGAAAGAAAGAAAAAGAAAAAAGGTCACAGAAACACGGAGGTAGCAAGCTGCTCAGCAGGTAACGATGCTTGCTATACTAAGCAAAGGACCTGAGCTCTGAGCTCAGTCCCTGAAACCCATGAAAAGGGAGTAGGAGAGAGCAGACTCCACAGAGTGACTTCTGACCTCTACACTGATGCTATAGAAAAGAAAGGAAATAAAAAGAAAACATTTTCAGGAATATGCAGCCAACATGCGAGGCAGTGCGCTCTGCACATTTAGAGCTCCTGTGAGCTCAGGAGACAGAGGCCCTCCGCACCCAGCCATGCATGCACATGCTACCAGCTCCTGTGAGCTCAGGAGACAGAGGCCCTCCGCACCCAGCCATGCATGCACA